TCAAGCTCGGTGCTGTGGTGAGTCGTCATTTTCATGCACTTTGAATTTGTGTTGTATCGTATTTTGAAGGCATTAAACATTACCAGAGCGATAAGAGTGTTGCGACCAGATTAGACGCTACTTGTGTTTATTATTATATTTCGAAAACACCACAGTTTTCATGCAGCTCATACCATATTGTTTTGTTGTATTATTTCCGCCACACCTTAAATGCCGGTCCCTGAAAATATTGTCTGACATAAAGGTTGGGGACCCCTGTTCTACATGACATATAAATTAAATAATGATAATCAGTATTCTCCAAAACGGAGCTTTTCTGCTCATGACTTGGCAACTAAAGCCGGGTTCAGTATATTGGGCAGTACTTCTTTGGGATACCACTTCAGTGAGTCATGTTTTATCTGCTTTGCTCTGGTATTTAAAAAAAACAACGAATAAGAGAAACTGTGTCACTCACTCAAGACTGTGAGCTGAGCTGAGCTTTTGGCTTGTACGCAAGCAAAGTAGAAGCAGAGGGCCCTGGGATGAGCGCGAGCGTCGAGATCAGCGCAGTGGCGCCTTTGACTTTCTCACGGACGGCTTTCGGTTTTCACGGGAAGTGATTTCAAATCAGGACGCAAAAGCACAAGTTTGTCTGTTTGCATTAGGGGCCAAGTGGGGCAGTGACCTGCCAGATCCAGCAGGTGGCGTATGTGGGGTTTATGTTCAACGTGCCGAAGTCCGATTGTGAACTAACCGCGATGAGAACTTTTCTCACAGAGCAGAAAGCACTCTTTAGAGCACTGTGCTGTCCTCACGACATCTGACTACATGCGGTTGGACAGCCCGAAAACCCAGTCAGGAAAAGTCTAACCGCGATGAGAACTTTTCTCACAGAGCAGAAATGCGTCAAAGATCTACTATTCACAACAGATGCGCTGACATGAATCAGAGGCGACAACGTGAGAGTTAAAATGACAAGCGTTTGTCATGATTACGTTCTGTGATTGTCCAGCAGGTGGCGTTCCGGTTTTCCCGCGACGCACTTGTCTGGCGTCACAATGATTGGGACGATTTAAGGAGCTCCTGGAGGTTCCGTCAAGGCGGCGCCTAATTTCACCTCGTTCATGTGCATTTCGTCTCGAGGCTCTCTTATTGCTCTCGTTGCGTTTTTGGCTCTCGCCTTGATGTCTCTTTTCTCCGTTTGTTGGCTCCCGCCTTTGCTGATGTTGTTCGTTATTCAAGTCAATAGTTTTCGTTGTGTTGAAGCGGATCCAAGGTTTGTTCTCCAGGCGGTTTGGTTTTTCTTGTACTTTGGTTGCAAGCTATTTTCATTTTTTTTTTTCCTTAGACCATGAGCATGAAAAATGCTGCTTCAACTCAGTCAGACCGATGTATATCATTTGTTAATTTATTGAAATCGGGACATCGAGACATGTTCGCCCACACATTATTTACATGACCTTCCCAAGTGCTTTTTCCGTTCCTTAAGTGCAGAAGAAGACGAAATGACACACTAATTGCAACACAGTTTATGCAAACAGAATTGTTTGTTTCTAAAAAAGCCATCTACTTCAAAATAAAAATACCATTTGAACAAATGACGTTGTATCACTTAACGCAGGTTCAAAGTCGGCAGACAATATGAAAGCAAGTCTGAAGGTCGACGGCGCCCACATCACTCACGAACCACCTGCCGAGTTGCGGGACACCAAGTATTAGACCTCAAAATGAAACACAATCTTTTGACTCAACATTTGAAATCATTTTAATGCCGCTAAATGCTTGCAACGTGCAACGTGACATTTCTGCGGCGTGAGTAATTAGTCCTTCTAAAACAAAACACGTTCGGTAAATTGTTTTATTTTGAGTTGCGTGTACAATCTGAGCTATATGCGGTGAATAGGAAATAAACCCTACGGCTTATTGCAGAAATAGAAACAAAAACATTGAGCGCCGACCCCTCAATCATTTCATAAGTGTTCTACATCAGCCGCCGGTACCGGTCCGCGGGGCATTTGGTAC